AAGTACAGGCTGACGTGTCAACCAGAAAGTACAGGCTGACGTGGCAAGAAGGACTTAAACCATTGGTTCTTAACACCCTCCCTCAAATTAACCATTCTCGGAGCGAATGGTTAATTTGGATCGTAGGAGATGGAACCGGTTTATGGGTAAAGCTTTGGTGAGAATATCCGCCAGCTGATCAGTAGTGCAAATGTGATCGACTCGAATGTTGCCTTGATGAATGTGATCACTTATGAAGTGATAGCCGATCTCTATGTGCTTTGTTCTGGCATGAAAAATGGGGTTATTAGCAATGGTGATTGTAGATGTGTTGTCACAATAGAGCTGTGTCGGGGAGTTAATTGGAATGTCAAAATCTGAGGCGAGCCGACGAATCCAAATCGTGTCCGAAGTCGCTGCAGCTAACGAGCGGTATTCTGCCTCCGTCGACAAACGTGCCACGGTCGTTTGTTTCTTAACTGACCAGGAGAGTAAGTTTGGACCGAGAAATGTGCAGTATCCGGACATGGATTTTCTGTCTTTTGAATTTGCCGCCCAATCCGCGTCACTGTAGCTCCTTAGCGTGAGTTCGCCGTAGGTGATAGGAAGACCAAAGTCTATAGAGCCTTTGATGTATCGAATGAGGCGTTTGAGAGCTAAGTGATCACAGGTTCTCGGGTTATGCATATGCTGACAAACAGCATTTGTGGCGAACGCGATGTCGGGTCGCGTGATGGACAAGTTTTGGAGTGATCCCGCGATCTTGCGGAACAGCTTCGGATCGTTAAAGGGGCTTTCGTCCCTATGGTTTGGTTCTTTGGTTGTTGCTGGGGATGGTGCGGGCTTACAGTCGGACATACCTGCATTGCGAACGAGCTCATGTGCATAGTGGGATTGAGAAAGGAAAAAGCCAGAGTTAGTTTTGATAACCTGTATGCCGAGGTATAATGAAATGTCGCCTAGCTGTTTGAGGCTGAAGGCGGAGTGTAGCCGTTGAAGGATTAATTGAATTTGCTCTTGGTCATTCCCGGTAACGAGTATGTCATCGACGTAGATTAGAATGAAGATCGTGGTGTCATTGCGCTTTAGTTGAAGAAGGGATGGATCGGCTTTGCTGAAGGTGAAGCCTAATTGAAAAAGAAAATGCGTTAGCTTTT